TGCCCTCAGGTTTGGAACACAGGCACACAGGAAGTCATTAGAGAACAGCTGATCGGTGCTTTAAGCAGCAGCACAAGGTCAGTGAAATAGTACATAACTGGATCCTAATCCACTCTTAAAGTGCCAAAGAAGGCTTCTTAGAGGAAGGACCACCTAAAACTGAGTGGAAAGAGGCAAAGAGGTAGAACCAGGTGAAGAGGATGGAGAAGGTGTTCCAGGCAGAGGGGTCAACACAGGCAAACACTGCCAAGTGAAAGGGAGTCTAAGGCCAATGGTAGATTCCCGTTTTCTAACTCTCCCTGTATTCCTACACTCTTCAACTTCTATCTGCTCTTATTTTCTTGATTTAAAATCGTATCTTAATTTTTCCAAGGCTCCATATGTTCTTTTGTAACTATTTGTGATATACACAAAATGCGATGTTCTGCAGGTGCCAGCACTCGTTCGACTGATTCAGGTCTCCGAAACCTGAGCTTCCTCCCTTCCTCCTCCAAAGGTCCCATAAGCTCTAGCTTTGGAGGCTAAGGATGTTCATCTCATCCCTCCAAATCTCCCTTACTAGCAGATGCATTATACAGCCCCACGTCCAATCTGACAGCTCGTGATTAATTACTACAACAAATGTCAGCCCAGTGGGAAGAAATCTCTACAGGGAAGTCACTGATATTCCCAACCAGCCCACAGCGCTCCAGTTTTTCACTTTTGTGGCTCTGCTTCCAGCAAGAAAGGTCAGGCATCTTACTCTAGAGACATCAAGGAGACCATGAGGGCTTGTGTGTCATTTCCTCGCCGCCTCTTAGTCTTTCCCCTAAGAGGCACATGGGCTCAGGGTGCAGCATTTCAGCGCAGCTTCTCCTAACTCTCCATGCGGACGTGACCATCCCTGCAAGGACCTCCCATTTCTTCCTTCTCCGTAGCCAACACCACGGTTGACACATTTAGGTGGCTATGGAAATGGGTGTAGGTTAAGCAGACAGAGAACCCTTTGGAGGGTTGTATCCTTCAAGAATGGACACAATCTCACTGTGAGGATGAGCAGAGGCAGAAAAGACACAGGTCCTCCTGCATTTAATTCCACCCCCGATACACAAGCCAGCTGAGCTCAGCTCAGACAGTCGACATGAGAAGTGGTTGTGTTCTGTTGGTTTCATCATAAATCTAATTACAGTTCCTGTCACCCATCCACCAAACCAAATGATATTATCAGTAATCATAACACCAGGTCTGTGTAGGTGTAGAAGGATTTAATTTGGCTCTGGACTGACCAGTATGACCTCACACTGCCTCAAGACTTTTGCACTTGCCATTTCTACTCTTTCTCCCAGATCCACATGTGATGCATTTTTGCATAGAAAAACACAGCAAAATACGTCATGACTCACCCAACAACCTAACAGAATCAAACATCCCCTTCCACAAAAGGCTTCCTTGACCAAAGGGCTTCCTTGAAAAAAGGGCTTCAACCTGGCCTCCCATTGCTGTCACCCCCTAATGCTTTATATCTATAGCATGTCACAGTCTGAAACTGTTTTGCCTGTGATCTGTCTCCCTCTATTGGCCTAGAGACCTTGTGAGGGCAGGAACTTTACCTGGTCTCTTGCTGTATACAAGATGTTTGGTGGGGTGCCTAACACAGGAGAAGTGCTCAGACATACATGTTGATTGGGTAAATAAATAGGTTCCATTTGAGCTTTGACCAGATACCACAAGGCACCCAGGGGGTCATGGAAAAAATACAACCAGGACTAAAACAGGCAAGTAAAATACTCACATAGGGTGCAAAACTTAAGGGGGGAGGGAGTGTTTAAAAAACTCCAAAATCAAGATAAATAATATTTTAATGCAATGATTTTAAAACCTCAATTAATTGCAAAAAAATAAAATGATGAATATAATATCAAAAAAATTTTGGAGCAATTTCTGCCATAAGGTACATGCACTCACCAAATGGACAAAGAGAAAGCAAGAAATCAATCATCTCCCAGGGAGGATGGCCACACTGCAATCCCTTCTCCTCCATTCTCCTCTCAAGATTTTTGGCATGCATGCCAATGCACCCCACATGAGTTTCAAGCCACCAAGTCCAAGACTCAAACCACAGTTAGCCATGTGAGAATCCAGTACCTTAACTACTACACCACCTGCCAAACCCTAAAATATCAAACTTTTAATGGTGGCATCTCATCGTGCACAGCAGCATCCCACCCTCATTGGCCTCACCGAAGTTAAGAGTCCACAAGTCATGTCTTTAAAAGTTCAGCATTTGCTCATAATACATTTCTTTGCATGACTTCAGATCTTTGAAGACATTGCATTAACATGTTATTTATTTTGCTGAGAGTTTTGGAGATCATTTACATTGCATGCCCCAATGAGTGCTTTATTTGCTTCATCCTAAGCCCTGCCCTGAAGGTCTAAGCCAAACAGTAGATTTTCCTCCAACAGCTCCCCTTTGGTCTACCCACTGACTGTGTATACGCTAAGTCATAGAAATTTGATCATGTGTATCTCAAAGTGGTCTTCTTGAGGACAGAATCTATCTGGTTCATGTCCTTATTTCCAAACCATGAACTCAACACCCAACTGAAGAGAGAAAACATGGGTCATGCAGTCACAAACACACATCCAACATAGCATCTCTGATCACTTGTGTCTTCCATAGCCCAGGTAACCATGGCTCTTAGTTTGGTGTTATTCTCATAAATGTGTTTGCAAGATAACCTTATAGGCATACATCCCTGCAGCAGCCTAGTGATTAAAGGAGCTATATCTTACATGGTTGGCCATGGTTCAAATCCTGGCCCTGGCAGCTTGAACAACATGCCAGGCATATGTGTGCCTTTCCAAAATCTCAACAGGAAGGAAAGCTAGAGAAGGGATTGCAGTGTGACCATGCCCCTTTAGGGATGCTTTCTCCCTTTTCTTCACTTTCTAGCCAGGGAATGCACATGCCCTCTGGTAATGAAAAAAAAAAAAAAAAGAAGAAGAGGAAAAGAAAATAAAAAAGAATGAGGCTGATTCAGTGGCTGAACCATGCTATGTTGTTCAAGTGATGCTGAATCACAGGTTGAGTTTCCTAGTCACATATCCCACTGAAAAAAAGAAAGAACTGCTAGATACTCAGGTCTGGTCTTCTTCTGTAACTTCATCCTTTGCCCTTGGCATCATGTATGCAAAGGCAATCCATGCTGATACATATATCTCTTGCTTAAGGATCAGGAAACTTTCTGTAAATACCCAGTTAGTAAATATTTTGGTCTTTGCAGGCCACTGTAGCAGCTACTACCCACAACACATGAATGAATTGACATGGCTGTGTTCCAATAAAACTTTATTTACAAAAGGCAGGTGGTGAACTGGGTGTGTGAGCCATAATTGACCTGCCTCTTTATTCATTGTCACTTTTAGGAAGTCAGTTCTTGATATAACAGAAAGTGTTTATCCTTTCTCCTCTTAACTCCCATTTGGGTGTTTATACTCCATCAATACGATGATCTCTGTTGCTGTGAATGTGTTCTCTTTTTATATTCCTGGGCATCAGATTTTTTAGCACATATGCCTAGAGGGCATACCAGTGCCAGCAAGTGGTATGGTGGTTAAGGCGCTGGGACTCCCACATGACTAATTGCAGTTAGAATCCCAGACCTGGCAGCTTGCTCTCTCACATTCTCTCTCTCTCTCTCTCTCTCTCTCTCTCTCTCTCTCTCGTCAAATTTAAAAAACAATGAGAATAAATAAATAAATAGTTCTTTTTTTAAAAAAAATGTTGCTGGCTTTAGACCATGGACAGCTTCAGCTTTCATAAATAATGCCAAGCTGCTCAAGAGTGGTGAGACCAATTTACCTTCCCATCAGCGGTTTACAAGAGTTCCCACCGCTATGGTCCTCGCCAACACATAGCTGCATTAGACTTTTCCGTTTGGCCGATCTGAAGCGTGAAATGGCTCCAGTTATGGTGTTAATTTGCATTTCCTCATTGCTGGGAAGGTAGGTTGAGTGTCTTCTCATGCCCCTCTTGGCCATTTGAATTCCTGAATATTTGAACTCTTAAAACAAGAGTCCTCTTCTTAGGAACTACTTGTGTACATTTTTAGACCATATCTATATGTGTGTGTGTGTATGTGTGTGTGTGTGTGTGTGTGTGTATTCTATTGGAGTATTTGTCTTTCTCCAATTGATTAGAGGAAGGTTTTATTACACATACTGGATACCCTTCACCAGTTATACATGTTGCAAATTTCAACTCCAAGTATGTAGTGTCTCTTCATTTTAGGCTCTGATAAACAGAAATTCATTACTTTAATAGAGTTAAATTAATCATTTTCTTATTATGGATATTTGTGCTTTTGCAACTTATTTAGATGACGTGAGTTTGAATTGCACCTCTACATTTGTGTGTAACCTTGGGGAGACACCTGATAGCTCAAAGCCTGTTTCCTCCTCTGTGAAATAGGTACAGTAACACCTCGTAGCCCATAGGTTATTCTGAGGATGCTGCTAAAGCCATTAGCATGGTGCTAGGCACATCATCACTCTTTCTCAATAGACTTAATCCACATAGGGAGAGGGATGCAGATACCTTGCTCTCTAGCAGGTCTGTGTTCTGCCGGAGTTCATTCCGCAACTTCTCTGACTTCTCTAGTTTCCGTTTCAGCGTTGTGAGCACCTCCTGCAAAATCAGACACCTTAATAGAAGCCATCCTGGATCAGAGGAGTACATTGTACTTGTGTTAAGAGCG